TCCCGGAGCCGTTGCGCCGCGTCCTGCAGCACGAAGGGCGGTGGCTGCGCCCGAGTCACCTGCTCCAGGACCCGCCGCAGCTGCTCGGGGTCCAGCGGAGCCACACGCACTGCACTGAGGCTCTGGCCCGGAAGAGCGGAGTCACTGCCGCTGCGATTCCCGGGCTCTGGCTCCGCGCCTGCCACGGCTGCCGAAGCGGGGACTCGAACCCGTGTCGCTTTTAGTGGCGGCGCGGAAGTGCGTCACCCGGGAAAAGACGGAATCTACGAGTGAGCTGCAGACCAAGATTATCTCCGAGATTCGGAAGCGGGTCCTGTACTTAATTGTCGCCCCCTCGCGGAGGACGCCGCCGTGTCCTTAAATAGTTCGCTTCTCAGACTCCACCAGCTCCAGGAGGTCTTGACCTACACTACTCCCTAGTCCTAAAGTTCAAACGTCTTCATAACCCCACTTAGAAATTTGTGGTTATAGGCACGCACTATCACTCCAAGCTTTACGGGAAAATACTACACCAACTTAAGATTTAAATTCTTTTTTTTTTTTTTTTTTTGAGCCAGGGTCTCCTGCTGTAACCTTGACTGATTTTGAGCTTTTGGCGATCCTTCCTGTAATGGATTAATTAAAATATCGTGGATCTCCGAGTGGCTGCAGCGGGCAGTGGGCCGTGAGACACACAGGCACACTATGAAGAGTGAGGTTGGATATTTATTTAGTGGGTTATGGAGGGGGAAAGAAAGGGGAAGAAAGAAGAGGAGAGACAGAGAAACTCCAGGGTAGGGGCTTTTTTCCCTTCCCATGTCCCCTCAAATTTATCCTGCTTCATAATGGCACTACAAGGTTTGTGCTTAATTTTTTGCTTTGCTTTGTTTTGTATATGTCTGTATGAGTGTGTGTCTGTACACAACTTATGTTGCTGGTGCCTTCAGAGGCCCAAAGAAGTGGCTATGAGCCCCCATGTGGGTGCTGGGAATGGACTCAGGTCTTCTGTAATAACAGCCAGTGCTCTTAACCACTGACCCACTTAATCCAGGTCCAATGTTTGGATTTTTAACATTAGTGCTCACAAGCCTCCTAAAGTGTTACTAGGGTGACCTATCCTGCCCTCACCTGCGGCCTACAGACTATAAGACTGTATCCATCTTGAAGGCAGGAATGACATATTGCTCACTGGGTGCCCAACACAAGCTCTGGCCCAGAATACACACTCAAGAGAAAGATGAATAGATGGATAGCTAATGGAATATAGGTAGCTGGATGGATGGGTGGGGGTAGCGGGGTGAAACTCACTCTGTAGACCCGGCTGGTGTAGTGATATTTCATTTGTATGTTAAAAACTAGAGCTTGCCTGAGGATCAGAGAGTAAAACAGCCCCACTGGTCAGCCTTACAGACCAGGCAGTGGTGACACACACCTTTAATCCCAGTAGTCACACTAGTTTGCCCTAGAGACTGGGCAGTGCTGAGTACCTTTGATCCCAGTGGTACTCACCTTAAATCTCAGTCCTAGAGAATATAAAATGGGAGGAGACAGCCCACAGATATAGTCTCATTCTGAGATTCCTGGAGGCAGGATCACCATTCCAGACTGAGGTAGAGAGGTAAGAGCTAGTGGTTTGCTGTTTTGCTTTTCTGATCTTCAGGGTGAACCCCAATTTTTGTCTCCGGGTTTTTATTATTCATGCTACAGGCTGGCCTAGAACTCACACAGATCAGCCTGCCTCTGCCTCTTGAGTGCTGGAATTAAAGGTATGTGCCACCACAGAATGACTTAAAGTACTCTTTTTTTGAGTTTTTTTTTTATTTATGTGTATGTGTCTGTGTAACTAAATGTCACATGTGTGCAGGTACCCACGGAGGCCAGAAGAACGTGTCTAGTGCCCTGGAACTATTGTTTGCCAGTGTCCTGACATGGGTGCTGGGGACCAAACAGCTTAACCACTTAGCCATCTCTCCAAACTCCTTAATAACCTTTATACTTCAGTGGTGCATTCTGAACACCCTCCCATGTGTGTTTTGAAGGCAGAAATCTGCCTATTCTTCCTGCTGTCAGACAGCTCACCCACAACAGAATCCAGTTATCAGAGAGTCAAATTGACAAGGGAAAAAACAACCATTTTCTTTCTACTCTAATCAAAGAGCCAAGCCTGGGGCTGGAGAGGCAGCTCAGAGTTTCAAAGCACTGGCTGCTCTTCCAGAGGTCCTGAGTTCAATTCCCAGCTCCCACATGGTGGCTTGCAACCATCTTTGATGAGATCTGGTGCCCTCTTCTGGCATGCAGGTGTACATGCAGGCAGAACACGGTATACATATTAACTAACTAAATAAATCAATAAAACTAAAAAAGAAAAAGAGCCAATCCCTTCACCATCTCCTCCATGTTCACTACAGAAAAGTCATGTCAAAAACCACAGTCCGAAGGGCTGGGATACAGCTTCTTAGAAGTCACCGGACACTAGCAGGGCCCAGCTTCATCTCTAGCTCTAAAAATGAAAACCGAACGAAGGTTATCACTCCTTAAGCTGATCTTGTCTCAGCTTGGTTACCACAGTTTCACATCCACGAGGCACAAGCTAGAGGGGCCCAGCCCTTCTGTGCAGAAGGCCAAGTTTCCCCTTCCCCATGGTGGAAGGCAATGGTCAGGTGAGGGTGAATAGGAATGCAAGGTCGAGATCTAGTTTCTGTGCCCAGCTCCACTCCCTACTGTGTCCCTGGGTCTAACCAAGTACCAGGAACTTATACCCAAGACATGGCATGTGCAGACACCTTATTCCGGATGCCAATAGTCCATCATTTTGACTGGAATAACAACAGTCCTACTCACTAGTATGGAATCCATACCTCTTACTACATCTCAAGCACTTACCAAGACCTTAAACTGTGTGGACTTCAGCCGCTGCTATCTAATTCGGAGTTCTACATTTGAGAAAGGGGTAGGGCAGCCAGGTGTAGAGGTCCATACTGTAGTCTCAGCTCTCAGGCGGTGAGGGCAGGAGGATCTTGTGTTTAAGGTGAGCCTGAGCTACGGAAAACAAAATCCAACACCTTGTACCCACATAGGAGCTAAGAGGTGGATTTTGTTAAACTAAACAGCGCTGACCGGTCCAGAGACTCGAGCATTCAGTGAGAAATCTTCTCATGTCCTCCGCCTCCAAATTCAGAACGAAGAGGAAGAAGTGGGTAGCTGAAAATCTTTGATAGGAGGGAGGCAGAGTCAGGCGAAGGTTTCTAGATCTATGGTCAATCTCTGAAAATCCCGCAGCGTTCCTTGACTGGCACTACCCGGACCGCCCAGCTTTCGGGAAATGACCTGCGGAATGCGTTGTCCTGACTTGCATTTTCAGCATGAACTCCAAATACACTGAGGTCCACCGGCGGCGTCGCCAGAGGAGCTGGAATCTTGGAAAATGTCCGGGATGACAGGAGCGGCGTTTAAGACCGCAGATTATTTGAATGCTTAACCTATAATGTCCTAAAGAGCATGCAAGGGACTTCTGCGGCCGACGACAAGGAGCGGGAGGAACTTCTGTGACGCACAGCCTGGTTACGACTCCCCAGGAAGAGGTTAGACAACTTTCAGAGTTAAGATAGGTAGTCGCTTCCATTTTCAAATTTATTGTAAAAATAATAGTCAACCTGGCCCGTACGGGGATCGAACCCGCGACCTTGGCGTTATTAGCACCACGCTCTAACCAACTGAGCTAACCGGCCGGACGACAACTAGCCTCTGCTCAGATCTCCTACAAGGTTTTTACAGGCGTCCTGTGCCCCGCTGTCTGACTCCTCCCCTTCCTCTCCTGAGTTTCAAGCACCAGGCTTTCCCATGTGCTACTGCTTCACCCGTGCTCATTTTCTATGTATTACCTCTTGACCAGATGGAAAAACCGTCACCCAGGGCTCCAGGGAAGGCGACCTCCTACAGAGAACCCAGACTTTCCTAAGGAAAATGTCAGTTGCCTGTTCAAGGCCTGACTCTGCAGTAAGGAAACTTTCAAATATCCCAGGTCAGAGTTCCGAAAATCTTTGCAGCCAGAAACCTTTAGGTTTCTAAATCAAACTTAGAACACGGAAATCCAGACACATGCAAAGAACCACCGAATTCCCCAGCGTTCAGTCGCCAGCAGCTGCTAGGACCTTGGCTTCCTCCTTTGCGGATCTGAATCCTATCTCCCTCTCTCTCTCTCTCTCTCTCTCTCTCTCTCTCTCTCTCTCTCT